AGGGGGGTCGATTTTCATCTTCCCTTAGTACCTTAAAGCAAAGAGAACTATTTGAAAATATGTTCCCCGAAAGGTGGCATGCATCACCACTTTTGCTGAACTCCGCATGCAAATAGCTACTAATGTCAGTCAGTCAGCTAATCACGATCGTCCTCATATAATAAATGTATGATTTTTTTTACTTAGCTATTTATCAAGTACTTCTTTGTTAAGTTTAAACTTTGATGTGACCTCTGTTTTGCTGGATCTGAAAATTCCGGAAATTCCTGTGCAAAATGTGTGCCGTGAGTCGTTTTATTTTTTTATTATACCGAAATCCATACCCAGTGAACGACATGCCCACAACGTTTCAATGCTATACGTTTTGCCCTGGAATGTAGGCTCAAGGAACCCCATGCCACCCAGTTTTAGCCTTATACGTTTCCCTTTTTTCCTGGCGGAAAAAATATGTTTGGTAAAGCGACCCAACTAAAAGCTGTGCTCTTTGGAGATGCACAAGAAAAGCTGAAATTTTCTTTGAACATCACGTCCGTTATACATGCGCCTCCTACTTTGCCACTTCTGCCCGAATCGGTAGAAAATGAAAAATTATTTGAAAACTTTATGTCCTCAAGAAATATGAACCCCAGAAGTATTTTGGAAATTTGACGTTTGACATTTGAGCTCAGTGCGTCAGCGGTCGCGTTCTTGCCATGTTTCAGCTTTTCATGCGTCTCCATTTTATTGAAGCAAAGAAAACTAGTTGAAAATATGTTCCCCGAAAAGGTGTGCCCCTTTGGCACGTATCACCAAAGTAGAATCTTTCCTGGACTCAGTTGCGAATAGCTACTAATGTCAGTCAGCTACTCACGATCGTCTATGTATAATAAAAGTACAGGGTGTCCACATGAAAGCTCACCTATTTGTGTGGAGCATTACAAGGAAAGTAAACGAGACAGGATGAAGAGAGTGACACCAAAAGAAAGAGCAACTCAAAGAATTTATTCCGAAAAAATCAGTACACCTCTACGTGCGCACCTTTCGTTGCACCGTAATGACCGATTCATGCTTGGCGAACCACACCACAACTTGCACTTTCTGCTGGTCGGACGCCATTTTTACTTCCGCGTTCCGCAGCGCCACCGCCGGGATACTGACGCTGGCGCGAAATTGAAATCTTAAATTCTTTGAGTTCCTCTTTCTATTGGGGTCACTCTCTTCATCCTGTCTCATTTACTTTCCTTTAATGCTCCACACAAATAGGTGAGCTTTCATGTGGACACCCTGTATAATTTTTTCTTTACTCAGCTATCCATCAGGCACTTATTTTCCTGTTTAAACTTTCTAGTGCCCTGTGTTTTCCTGATCAGAAAATTCGGGAAAATATGCCTTTTGCAAAGTATGTGCCCTGAACCGTTTTACCCGAAAAGTACCTTTTTTTTTTACCGAAATCAATCCTCAGTGAACTAAGTGCCCACAAAGTTTCAATATTATACATTTGCCCTTTTCGCTGGTGAAAAAGCATGCTTGGAATAACCGACCCACCCAAAAGCTATGCCCGGAGGGGATGCACCACGAAAGCTGAATACTCCTCAGCTCATTAATATCGTGTCACCTAAACGTATGTCAAGTATCACCTTTCCATTTCTGTCCAATTCGCCAAGCCAATTTTTCTTTTCCAAACATCACACCTCGAAAAAATTCCCCCAGGGAATGTATCGAGACTTGACATTTTTATTTCATTCCTTGTCCCAGTTGTCATATTCATGCAAAGTTTCAGCTTTCCATGTCGCTCTGTTTTACTCAAACAAAAATAATGTTATGGAGGGGAATGAGTAAAAGGACATGGAAAGCAAAAAAAGCCAACAGAAAGCCTAGGAATGGCCAGGAATTGAACCCGGACCTTTTGATTGACAGTCAGATATGCTACTATTACACCACCGAACGCTGCACATCCCGTTGTTACTCTGAATGCCATCCTCATCTGTCACAAAATATATTTAAGTAAAACCTTTCCCTCCAAAATGTGTACCCCCAGGGCATGTACCTCCTAAGTGAGATTTTTTCTGAACTCTACATCCCAAGAGGTACATGTGTCCCAAGTTTAGATTTCTAAACCTTCTAGAACATGGTTAGAATTAGCGTCAGTCAGTCAGTCACGATCGTCAATATATATTAGATGAGGACAATTACATGTAGTACAAATGTCCATATGAGAGAAGGAAAAAATTAAAAAAATGGAGCAGAAAGCAACTGTTAACAACATATAGGCAATGATACTGCTGGGTTGATAGAGCTTTGGAAGTTTTTGAAGAAGCACCTCCTCTCAGCTAAAAGCTTAAATCAGCACAAACCAAAATATTTCTTCTTTTCTCTCTTATGTCTCACTCAATCCTCACATCCCATTTGTACGAGTACTTTGCGAAATAAGGACATGCCAAATTCAGCTGCACTGAATAGTCTTCCATGACCAAGCCTACTTTCTATTCCTCTTTTATTTAACGGTATATGGCTATGAGACTAAAAATAAATAAAATAATTCACGTTCCTGACTCCAGTCTTTCTATTCTCCATCTCATTAATCCACGCTATGGCTGAAAAAAATTTACTTGGTAGTAAAAGACCTGTGTCTTTCCTGAATACCTCTAGTACCAAACAGCACCCCACCCCCCCAGTATGAGAAATCTCACCATTGCTCCACGTGTGAACTTCATCAGGATCACTGAAGGCAAAGGACTTGCCATCAACAGAAACAACTCGAATCTCATACACTTTTCCTGGCTCCAGTCCTTTCATGTCTATGAAATCTTCATAGTACTCCTTTTCTGTTTCCAGATATAAGCTCTCCCCACGTTTCCTGTGGGTTTCCAAATTAATTCCTGAATCAAAAACACGCCATGAACATACTCGGTGGTAGGTGAAGAATAGAGAGACTAAAACAAGTGATGATTGAAACATTTGCAAATCTCAATGTCTCCAATAAACGGCCAAAGTCTGGTGGCTGTGACATAGGTAGTTCTAAGTATTCCTTTTTTCTTTTTTTTTTGCTGGCAGTGCATTACTGGAAGTGATATATTTTGTAGTTTCCTTCAAAAATCTGCCCGCATTGGTGTCTACCTTACATTCACTGATTAAGAAATTATGTTGGTCTTCAAAGGACATGAAGAAACACGGAGTGCCAAGCATTTCAGGCTGACAATACAAGTTCAGCACATGACTTCCTTCCTTAAAGCTGAGGGAAATGTTCTTGATTAAGGACACCACTTCCGTTCATTGTTAGCTCCTTGTTAGAAAACCAGAGACTCAGCCAAAAGTGAAGACAAACGGGAATTGACTTCTGTAGAAATGCACTTGAAATAAACATATACCTACGGTCTTTGAAGAAAACTGGAGAACTTAATGCAAAAGGAGGGCCACCAAAATCAGAATCCAGTCACTCTAAGACATAGGAAACCATAACATTTTGTTTTGAGATCTAATGGAATGCCACCCTCATTGCACGGAAGCTGTTGCACAGAGGTTAGTCAAGCAGGTTTCCAAATATCTCATTTGGATGAAAAAGGCATTTTGAGTTATTTTTAATGTATCTCTAGATACCAAGCTACTGAAGGGAAGAAATGGTTCTGGCCTATCCTATATAGCGTAGGTTAGGAGGCCAATTTTAACTGTTTAAATGATGATTTTATGTGTATTATCAACTGACTATGGTCAGTCCTGTGAATTGCCAATGTGAATTGTGAATTGTTTAGCCAACAGAACCCATGATCCGATGTAGCCTACTCGGCGTGTTGGAGAAAATATCAAGTAGAAAGACTTTCTTCACACTCAGTATCATGAGAAAGTACGATACTTGAGGTAAGGGGGGCAAAGATACTTAATTGACCTTCTTTACATCTCTACAAAAAATAGATGCCTGAATACAGTCTGAAATGTATATTCTGTAAGAAAATTATCAATCGATTCAGCTATTATTAGATGCTACTATTGTTTGAATTGGGGGGCCAAAGCATTATGGCAGAAAAAGAGGAGTCCATATTATATTTACTTGTTGAAAAAGTCAAATTCATTCTATCACTTAAGGAGATAGAGACAGAGAAAGCACACGACGCTGGAGAACAATGCTGCAGTCTGACTCTTTGCGAGCAGTATTTCAAGCATTCGAGAAGCAATGCATCCAATATAAATAATTGGTAGCATGTCGCACCAGCACATCTTTAATCTACAGTTGCACTATCTTTTAATCTAGCATTGCAATTTCAGATGGGGTGAATTCTTCCTACTTTTCAGTGAGAATTTTGCTCAATGAATATCCTCTGAAAAATAAAGAAAGTGGATCTTGACATTTTGTTGGAGTCCACAGTTTCTTGATGACATTTTGTCCAAGTATGTTTGGAAGGATGGCAAAACCTTTCAACATACATTCCTGAGATAATTCTTTTGAGCTCTCTTGTTTGAATCACATGCCTTTCCAGACACATTGCCAGTCACTGATGTCACATTTCAACTTCTTTTTTTCTTTTATTATTTTAAAATGTACTGACTACCATATCAAAAGCTCTCTGTACAAAATTTATGAAGTTATTAATTTTTTTAAAACTTTTTTTTGGAATCCTTCCAGGTAATACTTTTTTCTCATTTTCTGGTGGTGTTTCGTCTTTGGACACTAATTTCATTTATTGATGCATGTGGATGTCACTGCTTTGTGATATGTATTAAGATGTCAGGAAGTATGGACATGATGTCTTTTAAAAAGCTTTGTAGAATGGGGCTATGAAAAGGAATTCTAAAAATTGTCAACAAATGTGATGCTATGCAACTAGGGTAAAATGTGAGAAAACTACTCCCTTTTTTCATAATGTCCAGATATGTGGACAAATAATTCCAGGCTGTTGACATCACTGATTTGAAAAGAAATTTTTTCCTGCAATTGTGCAGTGAGAACATGTTAAACATTGCACATCATTATTTCCAGAAGTTTGCTCTAATCACACAAAAGGTTACTTTGGCATGATTAGAGGTTTTCGGTGTGAGGGTAGGAAAAACCTGGACTGACAGGTACAAAAATAATTAAAATAGCTTCACCAAAACACATGAAGACAAAAGACACCAAAAGATTAAAAAAATAATTATTCAATTGGAAATTTCCTACATTACCTGTACTGAATGAAGAAGTGAGAGCCAGGTTCCCCATCAGTGTTTGGTATCCAATATACACGGATAGAAGCAAGACCACCATCTGAGGCCAGGTGCTCCCAAGTGAATGTTGGTGGATCTGGCTGAGATTCACCATCTTCATTTGTGAATACTTCAATGAAGTACCTGGAAATGAAATGAAAATACTTTTTAAAAAAATTATGCAATAAACAATGCCTGGTCCACTACTGGAGAAATTTGACGTTAAAAAAAATTATATTTGCATGACATTAAATGATACGAGATGCTGCATGATCATGAAACACATGCTTTTCAGGAGGATTTTTATAAAATGCCACATGCATATGCCTTGTGTAGAACACAGAGGAATAATTCATATTAGATTGGATGACTAAAATATGTTTCAGGAACTTGACAAAATCCCCCCCACCCCATCCAGATATGGAAAGCTTGGTCCGTGATAGTGAAATAGTGGGTGGTCTCCACTTGTTCCCAAAGGATATTTGAGAGTGAATAAGTTCATCAATAGCTACTGGAGAGCTATATGAGGAAACTATAATGTATTGTTGCCCCTTCTTCATATTCTGCAAAGCCAGCAGGGAGATCAAGTGTACGAGGGGCATTCAAAAAGTTTTTTCCCTGAGGCACTTTAAGTTGTAATACACCATTCATATTTTTTCTTGGCAAGTTGGATTCTTGGCAGACCTTTTGTCGGCTGAGAGGATACTATATTATTGACCCTACTCTACAAGATCCAAGAAGGAAAATGATTCCTTCAAGGTTAGAAAATTCATAACAGCATTCTTTTCAATTTTAATACCTCTTCAACAGACTCCTTGGTAGGACATTGAAAAAAAATCATAGAAGCTTTCCATCATAGATAAATAAGTTGAAAATTTTCCATTCATCTTCAAAGACATCTGTCTTTCATAAAAAAAATATGAAATGTGTGTTACAACTTTACAAAGTGCCTCAAGGAAAAAACTTTTTGAACGTCCCTCATATAAGAGAGAATATGAAGGGGGACCAACTCAGGTCCTTCTCCAGCCTCAGTTGTGGCCTTGACAGTAATGCGATACTTGGTCCCTGGTTCCAATCCGGCTAATTTAGCTCTGGTTGTAGCTGGATCCATAATGGGAGGTCTGCGTTCTTGACGAGGTCCAACACGTGTTCCCTGAACTTCTTGGTAATAGATGCGATAACCTGCCAGCCGCCCATTCTGCTGACGAGGCTTCTTCCAAACCAAGAACAGAGCTGATGAACCAAGGGGAAGAGCTTCCAATCCATTGATTGGTCCAGGAGCTGGAATAAAAAATCATACAGGCAGTCCAGGCTCATCTCTCAATCACTTCAATGCAGGCAGCAAAGGGGCAAGGTAAGACACTCACGTCCTTGTGGTGTGTTGAATGTTAGAGTGTTAGATACTGGACCATCATAGGCTCCATTGAAGACAAGAATACGGGCAAAATTTCTGGAATATGGGATGAACTTGTCAGGAGCTGCCATGGTGGCATTTCCATCAATTATGATCTCTCGCAATCGTTCTTCCCCCTCTTCATCTGTCCAAGTTTGAATCTGGAAAGAATCAATGCAGATCATTAACCCCTTCAGTGTTTCATTTTTTTCCTTTACACATCCCTGTGCTAAATACTTTGCTTCTGGTTCATGGCTGGAATCATATCCACCTCTGTGCATTTTCACAAACATTGGCTCAGTGGGAACTTAAATGGGAGGGATGTATTGGATAAAAGATGTCGGTCATTTCTTTGGCACACCAAGTATATACCAAGATCCACATGCAGCAAACAGAACACAGATTGCTTGAGACTACATCATGACCATGTGAGCTTCCCATTGAATGGTCTTCATTTTTTTAAAAACAAGGTCAAGACTAACAGATGTGTCTTGCAGAGACACAGCAATTAGAACTAAGCTATGGTGATATCTGTCTTATTTTTCCCATTCCATTATACAGTCCTCTTTGTGGGGCTTGGGAGTGTCACCATGGAATGAAACATTCCCACTTAATTTCTCATTCATCAATTCATCTGTCAGTCTAGTAATACAGGGGAGTGGCTAATGGTGATGAAGCTTCAATTGAGTCTAGAGTTTTTTTGTCAATCATGCAGCTTTCCCTTCTGCAACATCCATGAATCAGAACATTATCTATTTATATATTAAGATAACCAACACACTCCTACCATCACCAAAATCGAATAGTAACATTTTGCATTATTATTCAATAAGTATATAACAGATTACCTTGAATATTACAAAAAGCATGCTGCGCCCTATGATCTTTTTTTCATTCACACTCTCTCACTCCATCCTTTTCACAAGTTTTGTCTGGAGTCTCACAGAACAGAAGCCATTACAGTAAGCATTGACTTTGGATCAGAAGAGAGTGGAGGTCAACACACAGGTAAAATTAAGAAAATTCAAACAAAAACAAAAACTGATGGGACTCACCTTGTATCCCTTGAAGTGTCCTCGAACAGACTCCTCAGGTACCCGACTCCAATTGAACTTGGCAGTGTTATGGTCCACCACTTGAACCAGTGTAAAATTCTCTGGGGCTCCCAGAGGGACTGGAACAAGAAATCCCAATGAAGCATCAAGGTGGCTCTAAATTGCTCTGATATCCAGCAAAAACTTACCATCTTCCCCAGAATATCCAATTACTTCTCGAGCAGCAACATTACTTTCACCAATGGCATTCTGAGCCAAAATTTTGATGCGATATGGCTTGAAGGTAGGCTGGTTGGAGATTAACAGTTTTGATTGTCGCCAATCTGAGATTTGCTCTGTGTTCCATGTTGCCCCCTTCTCATTCCTCTTCCAGTGCACCACATATGAAAATCTTGGGCCATTATGCTCCACTTGTGGCATTGCCTAAATCATCCATCAAGTAGGAACTTCATTGCTCATAAATCACAAGTATGCATATTGAATAGAGTATAATTATTGAGCTATTTTTTGTGTTATCAATGCCATCTCCTACTTTTCTGATGAATCTTTATTTTTCATCACTCATGCTCTATATACTCACAATAGATTTCTGGGAGATTTCAAATGAAGTTTGATGTTTCTGGGTGGTATAAAGGAAAAATGTGCCTGAAAAATGTGTTATTAGAGGAACAGTTCTCAACTCTTGCACTGTGGCACCCAAGGGTACAATAAGAGTTTGACAAGGTCCTGTGCATGTTGGGAGTATTTTTTTTTGGCCTCCTATTAAGATGGGGGGGNTCAATGCAGGCAGCAAAGGGGCAAGGTAAGACACTCACGTCCTTGTGGTGTGTTGAATGTTAGAGTGTTAGATACTGGACCATCATAGGCTCCATTGAAGACAAGAATACGGGCAAAGTTTCTGGAATATGGGATGAACTTGTCAGGAGCTGCCATGGTGGCATTTCCGTCAATTATGATCTCTCGCAATCGTTCTTCCCCCTCTTCATCTGTCCAAGTTTGAATCTGGAAAGAATCAATGCAGATCATTAACCCCTTCAGTGTTTCATTTTTTTCCTTTACACATCCCTATGCTAAATATTTTGCTTCTGGTACATGGTTGGAATCATATCCACCTCTGTGCATTTTTACAAACATTGGCTCAGTGGGAACTTAAATGGGAGGGATGTATGGGATAAAAGATGTTGGTCATTTCTTTGGCACACCAAGTATATACCAAGATCCACATGCAGCAAACAGAACACAGATTGCTTGAGACTACATCATGACCATGTGAGCTTCCCATTGAATGGTCTTCATTTTTTTAAAAACAAGGTCAAGACTAACAGATGTGTCATGTGGAGACACAGCATATTACAACTAAGCTATGGTGATAACTGTCTTATTTTTCCCATTCCATTATACATTCCTCTTTGAGGGGCTTGGGAGTGTCACCATGGAATGAAAAATTCCCACTTAATTTCTCATTCATCAATTCATCTGTCAGTCTAGTAATACAGGGGAGTGGCTAATGGTGATGAAGCTTCAATTGAGTCTAGACTTTTTTTTTTGTCAATCATGCAGCTTTCCCTTCTGCAACATCCATGAATCAAAATATTATCTATTTATATATAAAGATAACCAACACACTCCTACCATCACCAAAATCTAATAGTAACATTTTGCATTATTATTCAATAAGTATACAACAGATTACCTTGAATATTACAAAAAGCATACTGAGCCCTATGATCTTTTTTCAGTCACACTTTCTCACTCCATCCTGTTCACAAGTTTTGTCTGGAGTCTCACAGAACAGAAGCCATTACAGTAAGCATTGACTTTGGATCAGAAGAGAATAAAGGTCAAAACACAGGTAAAATTAGGAAAATTCAAACAAAAACAAAAACTGATGGGACTCACCTTGTATCCCCTGAAGTGTCCTCGAACAGACTCCTCAGGTACCCGACTCCAATTGAACATGGCAGTGTTATGGTCCACCACTTGAACCAGTGTAAAATTCTCTGGGGCTCCCAGAGGGACTGGAACAAGAAATCCCAATGAAGCATCAAGGTGGCTCTAAATTGCTCTGATATCCAGCAAAAACTTACCATCTTCCCCAGAATATCCAATTACTTCTCGAGCAGCAACATTACTTTCACCAATGGCATTCTGGGCCAAAATTTTGATGTGATATGGCTTGAAGGTAGGCTGGTTGGAGATTAACAGTTTTGATTGTCGCCAATCTGAGATTTGCTCTGTGTTCCATGTTGCCGGGAAGAGTAAGGAGAAGGTCACGTGGTGTATACTTTTAGAACCCGGTAATACGAGGTGAACACCGTAACGGATTTAGTAGGTAGTTCATCCTTGAAGTAACGAGTATTTAGTGTTCATACGTATAAAAATAGAGTATAATTATTGAGCTATTTTTTGTGTTATCAATGAGTTGCACATGCCATCTTCTACTTTTCTAATGAATCTTTATTTTTCATCACTCATGCTCTATATACTCAATAGATTTCTGGGAGATTTCAAATGAAGTTTGATGTTTCTGGGTGGGATAAAGGAAAAATGTGCCTGAAAAATTTGTTATTAGAGGAACAGTTCTCAACTCTTGCACTGTGGCACCCAAGGGAACAATAAGAGTTTGACAAGTTTAAGTTTTTTTCCCTTTTTTTTGCTGCCATTTTTCTATGCCAATCATGCACTTTTACTTCAGCAGCAAACCATGGATGCATATCAAAGTAATCAGGAAAAGGGCAGTACAAGATTGGAAAATGATATTGTAATGTGAAGATATGTCACTGAGAGGAATAATATCAAATGATATCATGACAATTGGCATAATACTAAGTATTACTGCAGTCAGCTTGGCTATTTAGTTTCCATCTTTCTGTCCAGAAGTCAAGGTAAAGTTCTCTTCAATTTTTGAATATGCAATGTATGCATATTCAGATTGGAGTCAAGTATCAAAATGCATAAAGGGTTTCTTGAAACAGAAAAATATCCTCAGATTCAATTTCATATTGCTTTTAGTTCCTTTTTTATCCTATTATCATGACTGATTGCAGAAGGAATGGCAGTTTCCTACTCACTGTCCATGAAATGACAAGGTTATCTGGTCGAGTCCCTCGACCCATCACATTGTCTGGATTCTTGTAGGGGACATCTTCAGATGTCTTGCATATTTCCCTCGAATGATCTGAGGGAGGACTTTTTCCAATCTTGTTCCGTGCTATCACCCGAAATGTGTAGTTGGCCCAGGGACTCAACTCTATCTGCAATGCAACCATGTCAGTAAGCACATGAGAACTTTGTCAGTAAGCACATGAGAACCAGATATGGGAAAATCAATTTGTCAGCTACCCACCCAAGTAGCACAGAATATTCAACTAGTATCATTTAATTGCTAAAATATCAGGTATCATGGAGATATGAAGGACCTGTATTAAACCATTGCATGGAGCCAAAAACTCATCTCTGTACTGCAGTGCAATATTCATGTTTAGGGAAGAAATATTTGAAAACTGGATGGGCACCATAATTGATGGATGCACAAATTCCTGTGAAGCAACCAAATTGGGTGCCAGTTGAGGATTGGTCAAGGGGTGCAAAAAAATGATATACTGAAGGAGTGCCAAAGTTTTTCAATAAGTAGCTGTGTTCTTAAACCTGGCAGAGAAAAATTAAACTGAGAGGCCAACCAGCCATAAAGACCTGGTTAGAACTGCATCATTTGCCTTCCAGGGTCTTGCCATCAAATTTCATACCAACCTATGCACTTGTTCAGTCACCAAAGCAAGAAAATTTCCCTGCTATGAATTGTGATATATTAGAAAAACTAGATTCTGTAAATTTATCCTGGGTTTTCCAATGCACATAACATGACAGTTCTGGACCAATAATTTTTTAATTCTTCTCTCATATGCAATGTCACCAGTCTTGCTGGAAATGCCAGTTTGCAGTGAGATTTTTAAAAGATCAAGCAAATATACCATATAGGTTGAATGAAAAATCACTGATGTTACTTCTTCAAAAAAAAATCATGAAACTTAGAAGATATTAGAACTGCTCCATCTTAAAACTCAAAGGTAACTCCTAGGAAAACATTTCACCACAAAATGACAGTCCTCCACTCAACAATGTTCAATTTTAACAATGCTTTTTTATCAGCAGCTTTCATTGCATGCTGCATATAACCTCTGATCTGGAATGGCATTAACTTCTCTTTGGATGGTTGCCTGAAGTTATTTCTATAATTTTGGTCATTCACCCGACACATTTCCTTTCAAATAACCCACAAAAAGGTCATGATGAGGTGAAGTCAGAGCCACGTGCAGGCCAGTTGACTGCTCTGCATCCACCTATCCACCAATGGAGAAACTTTTTGTCTGTGCCAGCACTGAACCTGGAATGTACTCTTCTATTGAAAGTTGCTCAATTTTTACAGTAAAAACTGTTAGAGTTGCCCTTGAAAAATAAAATCTGAAAGATTAAAAAAATAAGTCAGTGACTTTTCATAGAACCCTTCTCATTCCTCTTCCAGTGCACCACATATGAAAATCTTGGGCCATTATGCTCCACTTGTGGCATTGCCTAAATCATCCATCAAGTAGGAACTTCATTGCTCATAAATCACAAGTATGCATATTGAATAGAGTATAATTATTGAGCTATTTTTTGTGTTATCAATGCCATCTCCTACTTTTCTGATGAATCTTTATTTTTCATCACTCATGCTCTATATACTCACAATAGATTTCTGGGAGATTTCAAATGAAGTTTGATGTTTCTGGGTGGTATAAAGGAAAAATGTGCCTGAAAAATGTGTTATTAGAGGAACAGTTCTCAACTCTTGCACTGTGGCACCCAAGGGTACAATAAGAGTTTGACAAGGTCCTGTGCATGTTGGGAGTATTTTTTTTTGGCCTCCTATTAAGATGGGGGGGCAAGAAAGTCTGGAGTCTTACTAATAAACTCTTCCATGGGTGTAATTAAAGAGCACTTTACAGGGTGTCTCATAAATCACTATCCTATTTTAAAAAATCACATTTACTGAACAGTTGATTCACAAAAGAAGTAACATTAACTGAAAGATAGCTTGTCATTTGGAATTATCTTTGTAAAAAATGGAGAGGTTTCTAAGTTTTGAAAATGCCATAAAAACACCCTCTGCCTCTTTCAATACATTTGGCATGAGGCTCAGCGTAGAAAAATTGCAGGAACTCCCTTTGAACTCTGATGGGACTCTCAAAGACCTCCATCCAGGTTGCAACTTTTCTTCATAGCTTCAGCATCTCACAACAGTGAAACAAGTTAAATTAAGCATTTTTTTCAGCTTCTCAGGTCTATCTGAAATTACAAGAGAAAAATTTGTAGAAGAGAATTCAACAAGGGGCACCAAAAATGTCCCTGAACAAGTGCACCTTTCTAATATGCATTTGAAGCTATTTCCATTTGAGTCTGATTCCAAGTCAGTCAAGAAAAAAATTCTAAAGAATGTCCTTTCCATCAATATCAACAACAGGGATCAACATGGTACAGTTTGAAATGGTATGTTGACTTATGGGACACCCTGTATCGAGTGGGCAGCATACCATCAAATGATTCTAAGGTAGTGGTTGGCAATTGAATTCTTTGGGGGCCGGATGGCTGAATCCTACATGTTCACAAGCCAACTCCTATCAAGGGTTACTAAAATTTTCATTTTAATGAATGCCTACAGTCAGATCTTAAGGTGAGATAGCTGGGTCTTCTCAGGCCATTGAGAGGGCTTCTGTGGGGCTTCCATCCAGTACAGGCCTCACATTAGCACCTGAAGGCAGTGCCACCTGGTGGTGCCTGCAATCCCTATCCATATTCTCCATATAGGTATAACTGCTGAAAGATGATGGGGTGCAATAAAGCTCTCTCAACTTAAGTTTTTCCTCCATGAAGGAAATTATTTATGTCAATTTATGTAAATCAGGGGAGCATCATACAGAGATATAAGTTTTTCCCCTTTTTTTTGCTGACATTTTTCTATGCCAATCATGCACTTTTACTTCAGCAGCAAGCCATGGATGCATATCAAAGTAATCAGGAAAAGGGCAGTACAAGACTGAAAAATGATATTGTAATGTGAAGATATGTCACTGAGAGGAATAATATCAAATGATATCATGACAATTGGCATAGTACTAAGTATTACTGCAGTCAGCCTGGCTATTTAGTTTCCATCTTTCTGTCCAGAAGTCAAGGTAAAGTTCTCTTCAATTTTTGAATATGCAATGTATACATATTCAGATTGGAGTCAAGTATCAAAATGCATAAAGGGTTTCTTGAAACAGAAAAATGTCCTCATTCAATTTCATATTGCTTTTAGTTCCTTTTTTATCCTATTATCATGACTGATTGAAGAAGGAATGGCAGTTTCCTACTCACTGTCCATGAAATGACAAGGTTATCTGGTCGAGTCCCTCGACCCATCACATTGTCTGGATTCTTGTAGGGGACATCTTCTTGCATCTTCGTCTTGCATATTTCCCTCGAATGATCTGAGGGAGGACTTTTTCCAATCTTGTTCCGTGCTACTACCCGAAATGTGTAGTTGGCCCAGGGACTCAACTCTATCTGCAATGCAACCATGTCATTAAGCACATGAGAACTTTGTCTTAAACCAGATATGGGAAAATCAATTTATGTCAGCTACCCACCCAAGTAGCACAGAATATTCAACTTGTATCATTTAATTGACTAAAATATCAAGCATCATGGAGATATGAAGGACCTGTATTAAACCATTGCACGGAGCCAAAAACTCATCTCTGTACTGCAGTGCAATATTCATGTTTATGGAAGAAAAAAGAAAACTGGATGGGCACCATAATTGATGGATGCACAAATTCCTGTGGAGCAACCAAATTGGGTGCCAGTTGAGGATTGGTCAAGGGGGGCAAAAAAATGATATACTGAAGGAGTGCCAATTTTTTTTCAATAAGTAGCTGTGTTCTTAAACCTGGCAGAGAAAAATTAAACTGAGAGGCCAACCAGTCATAAAGACCTGGTTAGAACTGCATCATTTGCCTTCCAGGGTCTTGACATCAAATTTCATACCAACCTATGCACTTGTTCAGTCACCAAAGCAAGAAAATTTCCCTACTATGAATTGTGATATATTAGAAAAACTAGATTCTGTAAATTTATCCTGGGGTTTCCAATGCACATGACACTTCTGGACCAATAATTTTTCAATTCTTCCCTCATATGCAATGTCACCAGTCTTGCTGGAAATGCCAGTTTCCAGTGAGATTTTTAAAAGGTCAAGCAAAAATACCATATAGGTTTAATGAAAAATCACTGATGATGTTACTTCTTCAAAAAAAATCATGAAACTTAGAAGATATTAGAACTGCTCCATCTTAAAACTCAAAGGTAACTCTTAGGAAAACATTTCACCACAAAATGACAGTCCTCCACTCAGCAATGTTCAATTTTAACAATGCTTTTTATCAGCAGCTTTCGTTGCATGCTGCATATAACCTCTGATCTGGAATGGCATTAACTTCTCTTTGGATGGTTGCCTGAAGTTATTTCTATAATTTCGGTCATTCACCCGACACATTTCCTTTCAAATAACCCACGAAAAGGTCATGATGAGGTGAAGTCAGAGCCACGTGCAGGCCAGTTGACTGCTCTGCATCCACCTATCCACCAACGGAGAAACTTTTTGTCTGTGGCAGCACTGAACCTGGAATGTACTCTTCTATTGAAAGTTGCTCAATTTTTACAGTAAAAACTGTTAGAGTTGCCCTTGAAAAATAAAATCTGAAAGATTAAAAAAATAAGTCAGTGACTTTTCATAGACCCTGTACATGCAACCATACTGTTCCCGTTGAAAGGGGACACAGACAAAATAGATGGAACATCATATCACTCACATTGTACGAAGTTTCAGTAGCAGGAACATCAGAGACTGCATCAACCCAAGTATCTGGAGTAAAGGATGTGTTGAATTGGATAACATAATTGAGGATAGGGGCACGATTATCACCCATAGGTCTCCATTGCAACCTCACATTCCTGTCACCACACTTCACCAACTCCAGTTGTGGAGGATTTGGCACATCTAAAGAGTGTTGAATTGGATGACATAATTGAGGATAGGGGCACGATTATCACCCATAGGTCTCCATTGCAACCTCACATTCCTGTCACCACACTTCACCAACTCCAGTTGTGGAGGATTTGGCACATCTAAAGCGAAATTCTCACTGTCATGAAATCCAGGAGTAACACAAGGGCTATTGATATCTGCACATGCTCATACTTTCACAGAGTAGGTTAGACACAAAAGTGATCAATTAGTTTTCATTATCACATTGAAGACTTCTCACCATCTCTCATCAATTGATGGCAAGTCAGAAATGAACCTTTTGGGGTCCACACTCGAGTTATCTTGTGTTGGCCTTATGATCGTGATGAAGGACAGAATAAACTTCGATGACATTGCTCACACATTCAAAATATTCAGACACCTAACAGTTAACACTTTGAGTCTTGCAACTGTCATATGACATCCTACACCCATAGTACATTCAAACTGCCAGGACTCGTGTTAAAGGTTTTAAAATAATTTGATGCAAAGTAGGCGTTTAACACATTGACTGCATCATGACACACCAGCACATCACCATAAATTTCATACTAGGTCAAAGGGTACAAAAAAAACATGCTATGTGACGTACCGGTGTGTCATGTAGCACCATAGGAAGGAATTAGCAAAACTACCTTGGCAGTCTACATCTTAATAGCATGACCTGTCAGAAAAGACCTTCTTCAATTTAACTTTGGCCTACTATTACTCATGCTTACATTCAATTATGCATTGAATAACCCATTTAGCAATGTTTTACAGTCTACATTCACAAATGCACCTGCCAGATCCTTCAGCTGTCAAAAAACTCAATCAATAAAATTCTGCATGAATAAGCTTTACCAAATCTCCATACTAGGTTCATGCTGATTTATTGGATTAGTTGAACTGCTGGTGAGTGGTATTGATTAGTGGTGGCTGACTGGCAGCTTTGAGCTCCAACACTTCTTCAGTCTGACCAATTAGGCAAATGAAAACTGTACCATCAAAAGTATCTTAATTCATTTTCTGGATATTATACCAGAAACTTCAGCACATGTACATTGCTCAGATCAAAATCTAAGTGTGATATGTAGGTCTTGGACCTGACCAAAGGACTACATCCTGGCATCCATGGTCTGGTGCCATGGCAGAAGAAGTGCATTGAGCTCAAAGGTGACTTGAGTCAGTCAAGAATGATACTTATATCACTCTTAAAAACATTTCTTGCAAACTTCATGGGATTATGAAATATGAAACGAGAAATAAATTATTTTTAACCACTACTTGAGACTTTTTAGATGACCATATACAAGGGACATCTGCACACATCAGAGGCAGAAGTTTTAAGGAAGGAAGGTTGCCCAACTGGAAATGCAGCCATGACAAGATGCACTAGCATTCTCTCAGTACCCATTGAGAAACAGGAAAAACAAAAAACATGCCAAACGTTATTTTGTTGCATATTGCACAGAACATATGTAAGAGATGCAAAGTGCATAATGGCATTAATTTGCAGCCAGGTTACTGACAGAACTACTGATTCAGCACAAGGCTAATGAAGTCACAAGATTATCTCCCAATAGGTTAGCTCTTCCTTGAAAGAGGAGGAAAGGGAAAGAGACATTTTCCCCCTTTTTTCCTTCCCTGCTTTTATTTTTCATTGCTCATGTGATCAAAGGCATTTACTGTTGAAACCATTTGGATGCCAGAGCATTAATGGAAGTGGAGATGAGAAGGAGACTAGAACTGTCTTTCTAAATCATTTGGGAAAAAATCATTGGGAAAACAGTTCAGTTACATGGTGGACTGTTTGGACCACGACCTAGGAAGCAAAATGGCATTTTTCAGAACTCCATAAATTCATGAGAATTATGTCATCACCTTGAACTACTAAGGTAGCAGTTGCTGAATCTTCATCCAGGCTTGTGCTTGCAACACAAGTGTATGTCCCAGAATCCAATTCAGTGGTTTTTGTAATAGTGAGTGAGGAATCAGCAGCCTGGATGAAGCGAGGCTCTTGATCAAAATCAATCTTTTCTCCATTCCCCAACCAGTCAATGTGGAGCTCCAGAGTGGCATCTGTGACAGCATTGCAACGGAATGTTGCTGTGCTTCCCTCGGCCACTTCAAAGTCTTCTGGTCCATCTATGATTCGTGTTGCCTCTGCAAATGAGAATAAACAATCACAATGAGAGTAAAAAATCTCTGGCCTCCAAATTTATGGTCTGCCAATGAACCTTACACTGAAAGTCATGCATGAAAAGATAGGACATGGTCTCAAGTAGGATACATTGATCTCAAATTTACACAGCAAAAACAAAAACCTTTTTGCAAAGCAAGAGATATGAAAGATTTGACTGACCTTTAACAACTAGGCTTCCAGATGCTTCAGCGGTTCCAAATTTGTTGCTGGCAATACATTTATACTCTCCAGCATCAAGAAACATCACATCCCTGTAAAACAAGATAAAATTCCAAAACAAAAGTTTGAAAATCATGAAAGCAGAATTCAGATATGATGGCATAGCATAGCATCTTTCATAGTTTTTAATGGATGTCTGGCATCTAGATATGCTCCTGCATAAAATTATTAAAGCATGGTACTCCTGAGTGAGAGTGTAAAGTGTACCAGTTAGTGGGATTAAAGACTGACTTGCCTTGCCTCTGCTCCTTTGACTCAACCACACTTCTCAGGTCAAAAACTCAAGCCTATACACCTATTGTTGCTTACTCCATGGCCAGATAGCTTAACCCTGTCTCAGCTAAGAAAAACCTTTTTTTTTCTCTCGCCTTGCCATGGGGGTTGGGGAAGGAGGAAAAAAAAAAGGTTTTTCTTAACTGAGACATGGTTAATACCTTGGGAAAGCACACTTCTGAAATTGGACATGGCTCTTTAGTGACTTTTTTTCTGTTTTGAGAAAGTTCATTTGAATATTAAAAAAAAGGTACTTTTATGTTGATGATGGTCATGGACATAGTTTATACATGGGGGGGGGGGGGGTACTCATTTGATGGCAAAATCAATGTATCATTGCAGGAACTGGAAAGGAGTCCTCAAGAGCTTTGAAATAGAGCACAAAACAATAATCTACCTCAGATAGTTTCTGAGAGAGAGAAACTTGTGTGGCATAATCTGGAGTGCAATGAATTAAGTTCAGGTTAAAATTTGTGACCCCATATACTGAGCATTGTGTGAAAGCAAAAATATTTTACTTTTACTATCAATGGTGCAAACATCTGTTTCATATTTTAACCAAATCCATAAAATAACCCCCACAGGCTATCCAAAACCTCATTTGGCCACAACCCATATCTGGTTCATGCAAGCCAGTTTCATGGGTTGAAACTCAAATCAAAGAAGGGTGGAGCCTATTGCTTGTTTTGGTGATAGAGTCAGGTGTGCAAGGGAAGATGATCAGGAAGTTGATGGTTTCAGAATGAGAGGCTATATAAGTTCCTAATGTGGGAACCAATGATACCTCTGACTACAGATGTTCAAAAGACAGATCATATGTTGCATGAAAGAATCATATAATGCCATGCTGCATGTTATGGGATGAAGTTTGGTCTTTACCCAGTCAACTAGACTGAGGGAATGCTGAGGGGATTAACAATCCTCCATAGAAGTTATGTTGAGGCAACGGTGACAACCATCCCAACATAAGAGGGGTCAGGATTCCCTGCATATCTATGTTAGGATAGGAATGTGGTTCATTCTTTTAAGGAGGGATGGAGCAAGTGCCCTGGATGAAACACAATACATCAGCTTGCTTTTCATAGTTTGCCTCATACTACTATTTTTCATCATCTCCAACCCCACTTCCCAGTTGGAGGGACAGGGGGCAGTTCAGAAGTTTCTGTACCAACTCTGCTTCAATGGTGAGATCAAGCATATTGCTTGATATTTATGTGTGGCATTCAAAAAACTTCATGACAGAAAATGTACTGTTCCTCCTCCCTCCCCTACCCGCAAGCATGAACACATGACAAAAATAAATGATTTTGAAGACCAGGTTAAAAAAACCCTCAACAATGAGCACACATCCTTTCTCCAATTCGAACCTTGATAAAAGTATTCCCCCTATAACTTCTGTTCTAATTGAGCTAGAGAGCTCTTCTTGAGCTCTTTCTGTGTATGTGAATAGGTTTTGGTTTCAGGCTTAAGTTTCAGAGTGAGGAGGTCATGTTGATGACTTTAAACCTCATATTCCCAAAAACAACAAATTTTGATTAAGAAAAAAAAAACTGGCTGATTGGCAGGTAAGATATGGGGCTAACACAGTAATACATTTTATCTAGGATTCTCTAGAAGTCCCAGGAAAGATGAAAATGAGTTAAATGGACTACATAGCATTAAACACACTAAATAAGAGAATTGGACACAACAACCACATAGAATCAAATCCTTAGGGTTTTTCACAGATAAAATTCTAATCCACCTACTGGTGGTCCATGTGAAGAAAAGCTGACACTTTCATAACCTTTCCTTGGACAGTTTGCATCATGCCTTTTTTCTCTAAAGGGCACTATAAATGAAAGGACCTGGCTATGATATCCTCCTATTTCATTAGACGTGCAAATATAGGAGATTGAGGGAGGTGGACCATGTGGATGATGGAAATGAACAAGAATTTCCTTATTACTGTCACAGACAGGACAGAAGTTGTAAGCAGAGAGTATCAGGGTAGAGGTAGAAGGCATCTTGGACTCAAATTCTTGAGATCATATCTGAAGAATCAGGGATCTAATAAATCTAATATTTTATTTGGGTCTAATATTTAAATAATCCATAAAATAAGTACTGAAGACTTTACTAAGTTTCATTCACAGAGCATGTCTCGTGAAAAATGTCCTCTGTGTACGCTAATATAACCTAGAATGACCCAGAAGTACAATATTGAAGAAGGTTGAGTACAGAAATGAAAAGAGGAGTCAAAACTAAATATGGAACATAGAAGAATCTCAAACACTTTTGGGGGAAAATATTCATTTTGAGAAAGAAGTGCCTGATTACACAAAACAGTGAGCAATTATCTACAGTAGCTGACTGTCCACTGTGCTGTTCATAACATGCAGCCTATGTGTTTTGAACTCACATTCTAAAACTCTTTACTAACATAAGAGATGCCCAATGCCCATGCCACATGGAATGAAAAATTTCAGCCTTTACCTAGTTATGTCTATTCCTAAAACTTTCCAGACACAACAAAATCCTTCTGCACCACATCAAACCAGGTTTTCATTTGCCTCTATGTTATCCTAGAGCAGTGGTTCCCAAACCTCCTCTCACTTGCATTGAAACTACAAGCGTCCAGTGGATTGCAACCCACTGTTTGGAAACTGCTGCCCTAGAAAAGGAAAAAAAATGTCCAAGGCATGGTCATTCATACCGAATGCTAAGATCACCCTCAGAGGTGATATTGAAACGTCCTCCAGTGAGCTCTTGGCCTCCTCTGATCCATTTCACCTTTGGGGCTGGAGCTCCAAACACACGGCATGTGAGCAACACTGCTCTCCCATTAACAGTTGCTGTGCCACTTGGTGCTTCAACGATTTCAGGAGGGAGAGCTGGAATAAAACATTCAGAACCATTCAATAGATTATTTCTATGAAAGATGAATCATCGAACTAGGTGGCCCTCAAGTCCATTTTGTATCCAGAACAGAGTAACTAGCAAACCATGGGAAGCAGAGATGCACATTTCATGAGAGAGGCACAACACAGGATGGATAGCATAAGAAGAAGAAAATTCACAACAAAACAAGACATGGAGGGTGCCACTACATTTGATTGGTCAATATGACCTCTCCCATGCTGATTGATGATGTCATTCATAAACTTGGGGAACAGTGATGTACACCTCTCAAGGGATGACAAGCACTTCCAGTATTGCAGTCTTGAGATCTGGAAGCATTGTTGGGCTATCCCTGTACAAGTACCTCTTCAAGAAACCCCATAACAAATAATCACATGGATTGAGATCAAGTCATCTTGGCGGGTTGTAAGAAAAGTTATACACCATAGCCATAAGCATCATTCCTTACATGAATGCTCATCAATCACTACAAAGGTTATATTGAACAATCATGGTAGTGGAACCCCCCCAATATGACCATTGTTTTGTGTCACATGTCACATATTTGTGATCACACCATTCCATCCATCAATTGGTATTCCTCTCTCATGAATTTCATATCTCTACCTCCTGTGATTTGGAAGTTAGAGTGCTCTGAATATACATGGTATGAACAAAAAAAGACCAATGACTTTCAACTCTTTCATGAGCAGTGGAAAATGTTCTTCCCAGAAAAAGTTTGACCTTCCCTGTGCTCTTGGAAGGCTGCACATAAGAAAAAATTTTACCACAAAAGGTTAACTCATGCAGGAGCTATTTTCATGAAACATACACATATGCATGTATGAGTATGTTTCCATCAGATCCTGAGAATTTCAACCAAATTTGTTGGGCCAAAGCAATACCATCAGCAATTATTGAAAAAAATTAAATATAGAGAATGGACAAGAGCTCCTGCTGGTAGTAGAGAGGAGGAAACACTCATGCACTGTCCTTCTTGATCATCAAGACCATGTCGAAATCCTTTCCATTTTAATTCATTGTTTTGGCTTGATGCCCTTTGCAGTTGGTTTTCATGAGCTTATTCCCAATGAATAGCAGATGAATCAATGAGTATCAGTACAGATCTCTCAAAGTTCATTCAGAATCTTCATTAGTTTATGGAGACAATGAAAGGAGAGGACTAGAGGGCATGGCATGGCAAAGAGCATTATTGACAAGCCATGGGTGGGAAACAGTTATGCAGACCCATGGTCATTGTGCACACAGAATAACTTTTTGCACAAGTTACAGTGGAAAGAAATGATGCACACTTTAAAAACCTTAATTTCCAAGCCAATTTCTTTATGTTTATGGGTGTCACATTACTGAAAACATATGAGGGATTTCTCAAAAGTTCTGCCAGTAGCCCACAAGTTGTCATCAGAGGCGGCCGCAAAGTGCTGGACCAGTTCAGGAAACTTATTTTTTTATTAAAAAAAGGTTTTTCACCTGGTTGGATCCATCGCATGAAAAAATGCATTGAAATCGGTGGGGAGTATGTGGAAAAGGTGTGAAATAGTTGCCTGTGGCAATAAAGATCAGAATTTAATCATGGAACA